GTGTGTGTGTGTGTGTGTGTGTGTGTGTGTGTGTGTGTGTGTGTGTGTGTTGTTTTCAAAACACTTCTTCAGACACAGTATTTGTGGGAAGAAAAATTAAAGCTTGATTTTTATTAGTATAAAATAATGTGCCTTTATTGACCAATTCATGAACAATATAGTTCTTCTAGGATACTGGATGACTGAAAATTGGAGTAAAACCAAACACCAGGCTTGGATTAATCCCTTATTTACGCCCCACATCCACATCAAGCTATTTGAGAAACAAAAGTTTGAAAAGGATTCTTCACTATATCAAATGTTTACTTAACCTCTTCCTTAGAAACACAGTAATCAGAGCCAGAATAATGAGATTTGAAATACACTTTTCTTTTGATTTTTTCCTCAGTTAGTGAAACTTCTTGAAAACAGAGAAGGGCAAGCATGGATACTTTTTTTTTTTTTTAATTTTTATTGGAGTATAGTTGCTTTACAATGTTGTGTTAGTTTCTACTGTACAGCTAAGTGAATCAGCTACATGTATACATATATCCCCTCTCTTTTGGATTTCCTTCCCATTTAGGTCACCACGGAGCACTGAGTAGAGTTCCCTGTGCTATACAGTAGGTTGTCATTAGTTTTCTATTTTATACATAGCATCAATAGCGTAGATATGTCAATCCCAATCTCCCAATTCATCCCACGCTCCCCCATTCCCCCTTGGTATCCATGTCTATGTCTCTATATCTGCTTTGGAAACAAGATCGTCTATACCAATTTTTTCAGATTCAACATACATGCATTAATATACGATATTTGTTTTTCTCAAGCACAGATACTTGAATATACAGTGAAAACTCACAGATTTATAACTCAACTGCCCACTTATGCTAAGAGATTTTAGAACCAAGGTCCTAGAGATGCCCTTCTGACAGTGAAGCCAGGCTAGCAGCTTCTGAGCAATATGTTTAAACGCTGATGCCCACTTCTGTCTCTCCCTGATCAGAAGCTAGGGCACAAAATGAGGTTTGAACAGAGATACAATCACTGTTGGGAAGTGGAGCCATGGGTGGAAAGGGATAGAGCTCAAAAGCCAACTGATGATGCAAAGATCACAACCCCGTGCTACACCAGCCCTCTAGGCCATGACCTGAAGTGTGTCAGAATATAATCATTGCAAGATGAGAACAATAAACCTATATTCTATTGGTCAGAAATGCTTTTGCCCTGTCCCAGCTTTCTATTTAACACAAGCTTAAAGAATTAGATGGAAGATAAATTAGGTATAGCAGTCATATTTACAAAAGGGTTTCTTAAAAAAATCCTCATGAGTGCTTTGCCAAGAAGAACCTCAGAAGCCAGCTTCCTTGCCAAGTTTCTTAGCTGCTGTCAGACCATGAAAAATGGAACACTATGGGCAGATACCTGGCATGGCGAAATTCCAGGTGATGAGTCTTAGAAGCACATGAGAAGCAAGCAGGTAGTGTGACCACTGTAGAGAGGCACCTTATCTCCACATATGTTCCTGGGTGGTTTTACATACCTCGACTGAGTAGAGACCATATAGTTTTTCCACAATAACTTCTGCTTAACTGACAAGTGGAGATCACATCTGCTTGCAGTGAAAAATATGGTGCAAATCCCATCCTTTCATTATGGCACATAAAAGCTCTATCTTATTTATTGTTACTTTAAAAAACATACTACTGACCTAAGTTTCTTAAAGTGTCCTGAATTGGTCAATTTTATAATTGTAAGAAAAGATAAGTATACTCTGTTGATAAAGAACATGGTGGTTATCAACTTCAGAAAGCAATAAAAGTAAGCGAGAACAACTGCTATCGCAAAATCATATATGGCATCCCAGGCTATACACTCTTATGGGCTATTTCTTATACCCTTAGAAAGTCTCTTAGAGATTAAAACACAGACCTAAGAGGCACTTCATATTCTGCTAATACCCAGTTTTAAATGCACCTTCTCATGGATTCTATTAAACATACCCTTACGAACAACCACAAAAACTCCTTACCTCTACCTAACAGCCTTGGCCAGTAAGCTATAGACTAAGGGCACATGTGAGTACAGCGTGGTGCACCTTAATATGTGTACTTGTGACCCGAGGGAAGACGCTCTCTGAATCATGTTCTTTCAGCAGGCCAAGACCATATTAAAAAATAAAAATTTTTTTTCACTTACATCTTTCTGGTTGGAGTGGAAAAACCTGAGCGCGAAGTTACAGGACTGGGATGCAGCAGCATACTGACCTAGGGATTCGGCATATCGGGTCAAAAGGTAACTAGGTCGGAAGGAAAGAAAAAAAAAGGTTATACCTACCCACCTCTAGTATCAAATACTACACTTCAAATTACTATGGCAGAAAAACAGCTAGGCATACGAAAAGTTAAAACATGCGGCCATAGAAATGATCTAATTCACAGAATCAAATTTTAAAAAACAGCAAAGTTAATTCAGTTTTGTGGGAGACCTAAAGCTCTATGCCATGCTTTCTTACACTCAGATGATTAATGGAACACAAGTTGTTAGAGAACAGAATATTGTCTTCCTAAAACAGCTCTACAGGACACAGAGAAAATACCCTTGATTCATCACAAAGAATAGTCAAAATACAAATTCAAAGGATCTCTGGGGTCAACATACAAGTGTCAACCTCAACTGCAAGGCAGAAGTAAAGACTTGAAAACAATGTGTGCTAAGAAAAAGAGTTCAAAGTATATAACTGTTACCTGTATCTGGGGAAAACTTTTTTTTTTAACCATTTCTAAATTGTACACATTTGAAATTACCACAAAATGCTGAGAAAGATAAAACTCTTTCTGCTTTGCAATGGGTCATAACATAACAGGTGATTAATCTACAAAGCTTAATACCGGGAACAACTTTTCTGCTAAAATCAAAATGTTAAGAATTCCATATATGAGGACCCCACACTGCTGTAGCTGGCTGCTCATTATTCAGAGTATATACTACCAACCCAATGGTGTCATGCTGGATATGCTTAGCATCAAGGCTGGAATACAGATCCACCACCGGTTCAAATGCCCCCAGCATACAGTAGATTCGAACAAGCAGCAATTTGAATTGAGCATTGGAAGGGCTGTGAGTTAGTCCCTCTTCCAGCAAAGTCAGGGCCTGCCACACAGCGGTCTCATCACCTAGAACCAAAATATAACAGCATTATCCACAGACCTTGACAGCAAATGGGGGTTTCTCAAAACTAAAAAATAAAAACTAACTGACACCATCACCTCCCCTAAGTATTCTAAGGATGTGGTTGGGTGGCAGAGAACGAATTTTAGATACACACCTGTAACCAAAATAGGGAATTTCCCTGAAAAGACAGTCCCTCAATAGTTACCTCAGTTCTTAAACCTGCATCTGCAAAAATGATGCAAACTTTGAGCTGCCAGGTCTTAAAAGAGAAGTCTGGAATCTCACAGGATCCTAGATTCTGAGAAGAGATGGACTTTGAAGGAGAAGTAGAATCCACCAACTTTCCCAGTACAGGATTTTCTCTACAAGACCCCAGACAGATGCTTTCTCTTGACATCATTTTTCTTCCACATGTAACTCTACTAACAGATGTCAACTAATATTTGAAAAAAGAACTGCTCATTAATAACCAAACTAAAATGATACACATTTTTGGCCTACTAAAATGCAAAACGTTACATGCATCAATATTCTTAAAGAAAAAGTAATTTCTCTTTTATGAAATTATCTGAAGAAAATAATATGAAATGCAGATAAAGCTTTATATACAAAAACATTCACTGTACTAATAATGGGGGGATGATTAAGTAAACTGTAGTTACACCCACACAGGGAAACACCATACAGCCATTTAACGTTAACAAGGAGTTTTTAACAGCAAGGGAAAATAATTATGCAATAATGATCAGTAAAACGTACAGAATTCAAACTAGTATGAAGAGTTCATCTCAAGTATTTAAAACATTCACAGAGAAAGAGAGAAGGAAATATGCAAAAATGTTAGTCTTTTGGAAGTTGGAAAAGTGAGATTAAAATAAACCATTTGCCAAATTTTTACGAGCTACTTTTACAGTTAGAAAAAACAGCTAAAATAAAAAGCTCCCCCCCCCCCAAAAAAAAGCTCCATGCACTGAGCTTTTAAAATTATATGCTATATGCTTTTTTCCAAAAGAAACAAGACATAACCAAAAATTGGGGATTTAGATAAATATCCATAATCCTACCCAAACTACGTAAACCACCCATGATCTACTCAAACTACCATTGTGATTAATGTACTGCTTTTGAACTATCAATTATGTATACATAACATTACTATGTAATGTATCAATTATAGCTCAATAAAACGAGAGGAGAAAAAATGACATCCTTCACTCCCTATTTTATTTTTGCAGCACAATTTTACACAGTAGTAATCATGGCATACACCCGATTTTGTGTTTTCCCATGTTGCTCCCTGCTCTTCACAATCATAATTTTATTTAATTCAACACTCAGTGACCTAAACTCTGCAGTAACACTAGATATAACACCCAAAGATAAGAGTCATAGGTGGTTCCAGGCCTCAAGAGGTTCAGAATTGAGTAGAAGAGATAGTTGGACAATTATAGATAATAGATAATTTTTTTAAGTCCTACTTATTCAAGGATAACCAATATCAGAATTTTTTTTAAAAACTTCTTGAAGATCTCTTTTAAATGGAAACAAAATTTCAAAGTAAATAGTAAAAAAAGGTTTAATTTACACTTCTGAACTATTAAACCCAACATTATGATGACATTTATCATCTTATTTTATTTTGCAAAATTTATAATATAACTACAACTCTATGCCAAATCAAAGAGCATCAAGGGTTGATGAGGATTTGGGGGACAAAATTTTTTAAATCAAATTTTATAATATAACAAAATGATATAATAAAAAGATATAAGATAAATTCTGGGGATATAATGTACAGTATGGTGACTACAGTTAACCACACTGTACTGTGTATTTGAAAGTTGCTAAGAGAGTAGATGTTAATAGTTCTCATCACAAGGGAAAAAAAAGTAGCTATGTGAGGTAATGGACTTTAACTAAACTTATTGTGGTAATCATTTTGCGATATATCACTATATTGTATACCTTAAACTAATACCATGTATCACTATATTGTATACCTTAAACTAATACAATGTAATGTATCAATTATAGCTCAATAAAACTAGAGGAGAAAAAATGGCATCCTTCACTCCCCATTTTATTTTTGTAGCACAGTCATAAAGAAATGCTTTTTTGCAAAAAATATTTGAGAGCATCATCAATTTAACCTTAAAATGCTCTTCTTAATCCTGTCACATTCAAATCAGTCTCTTTCAACATCCTCACCAATTTTCTATACATTTCTAATTTTTGTCATATCCACCTTGAACAATGACTATTGTTCCAGCCTACAACTGGAACATTCAACATCACTTTCACTGACTTCAAGAAAACTTGCATCTATATATATATAATATCTAGAACTTCCCATGTATTTGCACTGTATGATTTTGGACAACCCACCTAACTTCTTTCTCTCTGCCCTGTATTTCCCACATCTGTAAAACTGTAACGATCTTAACTGTATTGTTACAAGGTTTAAAATTAGCTAATTCATATAAAGCACTTTCAAGTGCCTGATGATCCACAACTGTTAACTGTTATTACTATTATATGGTCAGATATCTTGCTCCAAAACCAAGAGATTAGCAAAGCCACAGTCACTAAGAGCAAGAATAGATGCCAGGAATAAGTGGGGAAGGGTATGAGTAGGGGCCAAATTACTAAGTAGTCAGTTCATTAATGGTTTTACATTAAGATGACTTTTACAGCCCTATGCAACCTCCTGAATGTGGGGTTCCAGATACCAAGTACTCTGATGAAAAGGATTTCATCCCCATCCCCGGTACAATACAGTATAACAAGTACTATCATATGGATATACACAACATCCTACAAAAGTTCAGAAGGGGCATAAAATCTGCAATGAGGAAGGGGGTGAAATCAAGACAGGCTTGTCAGAGGCACTGTTTGAGTAAAAGTGAGATGAAGGAGGTAAGAAAGTTATTTCAAAGAGAGGTAACATGATGTTCAGTGATAGTAAAAAAAAAAAAAAAAAAAAAAAAGTAGATTCAGGGCCTTAAGTACTAAGAATCTGGAGATGTAGACAGACACTAGATTATAGAGAGCATTGTAAACCATCCTAATAAGGCTGATCTTTATCCTCAGGAAAATAGGGCATATCTGAAGGATTTTAAGCATGAGGAAGATAGTATCAAAATTGAGTGCTTGGTTAAATGACCCATGAGGGCAGGGTTGTGTCTGTCTTGCACAGCACTGTCTCCCAGCCCTGTTTCTTCTGCAGTTTATTCTCATGAATAATATGCAATAAGTAGCTAAAGTTATTTTTTCTCAAAAACTGCTAATAAGAGAAAATGTCAGAAAGTGAGACCTAAAGAAAAGGCAATCTCAGTACCATCTGCTGAATCATCCTTCTCTTGCTTAATGACTCATGATGCTTCCTTTACCATGCAGTATATATTTGTCTTAAATGGGCTAATCTGAACTATATTCCAAAAAAAGTGTATTTTCCTATATAAACTGAAGTGAACAAAAATGGCTATTTCATTCCATGGACCCATACATCTATATCTGAATCAGTTTCTCTGTATTTTAATTATTGTAACTTTGTAATAGGTTGTTTACTCACTATGCAGAAATATTTTAAAACAGAACAGATATCCACTGATTTAAGATTATCCTAATTACAGAGAGGGGGATATTTGGAGACTTTGGTTCTTCTAGAAGCACCCTGGAGAAGGGCAAGGAAGAAAAACCTAAAAGCATAAATCAAATTCTTGGATTATATACTTAGTCTAAGGATTTATAGTCAACAAAAACAAAGAGTAAAGTTAAACTGAAATCACTGCTCTTTACCTGTTTCTCTCCATATATCAATAAGCACATGGACAGCAAGGAGACAGTAATAGTCTGAAAATTGCAATTCGGTTTTCAAACAGGATTTCCCTATAGGGAAAAAAAAAATCATATCTGTATTTTAAGATTTGTTCAATTATTACTGCCCCAAAGGAGTTTTTTTAAAGCAAGAAAGTGACAGGAGGAAGAAGAGAAAAAGAGGAAAAGAAACTAATAAGAATGGAGTAAATACCAGAAGAAAAATATAAGCCATGAATCAAAAGAGTCAAAAGAAGGTGAGACCACACTCAGCTGGAGCAGAAGGAAGGGTTCCAGAATAGAGGTGGTATTCCAAATGGTCCCAAAAGGAGAGCAGCAAGATTTGGAAGGAGGTTTTAGGTGAAGAAAAGAACAGAATCCAAGAGCCATGTACAACTAATGTAATATTATGCTCATTACTTCACCTAATTTTTTAGAATACAGTTAGAGAAATACTAATATCATCTAGTCAGATAATTTATATTTTATCACACATATCTAAGCAATCTGAAGATCATCTACTTCTAAACTAAATATTTATCTCACAATTTACAATTCTTTTTGGTCATTTACACAGTCTATATATTTAGAATATTAAGGCCTATAAGCAGAAAATATGACAATTATCATAAACTCTGCAATTCATCTGAGCCCCACTGTGATAAAGAGTTGGCTGGCCAGATCAGGAAGAATATGGATATCTGGGAGCCAATTATAATTTTTAAAACTCCAAGCTTAAGAAAGGCTTTGCATTTTATTACCTGGATAGTGTTCCCACTTGACAAAATATTTTCCTTGCCAAAAGCATTACAACAGCATGCTATGAGAGATAAAAAACTAACTTCTAAATCTTAGCAGATCAGGGAACTACTGCACATTTTGAAAGGCTGCTCACCAAATTCTAGTCCATGCTGGTACCTTAACATCAATTCTCTGACCACACTCAATTTCTGATTTTTATCCATCATGTGGTACAAGCCAAGTAACCTCGTCAGCTGCACCACACACAAATGTTGCTGCAGAGCTCTGATGTCAGCAGGCAGTGCCAGCTTATCCTCTGTTGGTGTTGACAAAGGAACAACTCCAAGTAACTGATTAATAAACTGCAAAGTTGAAAGAAAAAAAAGAAGTACAGGTCTCAAAACAGAACTAGTCTTTAGTAGGCCACAATTAACAAATACTGAAATGGTCTAGAAAAAGGTATCAAGAAAAAATACAAATTAAAACCCCTTTAGTATACCACTTTCTATCTACCAAAATTGCCAAAACAAAAACACTTCTAACAGCACACAGTGCTGGTAAAACTCCAGTGAAACTGGCACACCCATTCATTGCTGGCCAAAAGTATTATGTTAATACCATGTAGTATATGCACTAAAAGATTAAAAGAACTGTGAAAATGTTTCCTAAATTACAATACATTGACATAATATGTAACGTAGCAACGAAAAAGTTTAATTAGGAAGACTGTAAAAAGAACAATTACCCCAAAACAAACCTATTATACTGATATACTACAAATAAATTCTTAAAGGAAACATTATACATTGAAAGGAATGGTTGTCCTGTCAATAGCCTTAAATTGTTCTTTTGATTAAAGCTTTAATTTTGAGATAATTATAGATTTGCATGCAATTGTAAGAAATAACACAGTTCCTGTGTACCCTTCACCCAGTTTTTCCTAATGGTAACATTTTTCTTTCTCCTGTGGCCGTACCGCACGACATGTGGGATCTTAGTTCCCTGACCAGGTATTGAACCCATGCCCCCTGCAGTGGAAGCATGAAGCCCTAACCACTGGACTGCCAGGAAATTCCACCCCAATGGTAACATCTTGCAATAAAATGTTTTTAATTCTCTAAATTCGGTATAAATTTTTAAGAACACCAGTTCCACAACCAGTACAGTTGCAATATTGGCAGAAGTGAGAAGGGACCCCTGCATCACATACAGGGTGTCTGTTTAAACTTCCCACATGGTCGTATACTATACTCTTCAGCTGTTAGGATGTGAGAAAATGCTTGGGCAGCACGAGTCTGGGGTTCTAAAAGGTGTTCATGGACAGAAAGTGCAGCCAAGGGGTCACAGGCATCACCCTTGTGTCTTCCCTATATTTTGTGATCCAAAACTAATAAATTATTTTTAAAGCAAAAAAACCCAGTTCCATTTACACATGTATTAAACACAGGCTATTTTCACTCCCTTCCAAGATCCTATTAGGATGACAGTAAAGAACAAAAAAGGCATCAACCCCAAAGGATCAAGAACATGTGAAGAGATGACAGCAAATAATAAACATTAACAAGATTTCAAAAGATAAAAAGCAGAAGGGCAGGTGGTAAGTAATAACCAATGTACAGGGCCAAGAAAGCTGAAATCCAACAGTATGAATCGGGAGACCACCAATAAGCAGCAAGCCTCTTCCAGCCACAGAACCTTGGAAGACTCAGAAATTAAGGGCAAGAGGTACGTCTGAAAGCTAAAGTGCTGGTGGGACTGAAACAGAAGAATTTGCTAAATTCTGAGAAATTAGACCCCTCCCCAAGCTCACTGACTGACTTCCTAAACCCAGCAGAAGCCACGGGTTTTCTTTACCCCCAGGAGATACTGAACCAGAGACACTGTAGACTCAAGGGGAGAATGGAACAGATCTATTACCTCATGTTTCAGAATACACTAAGAGGAGTTTTAAACTTTTATGGTTCTGTCAGATTGATTGGGCTGAACTGAACAAAAAAATATTAACTCCAAGAAAGAAAGTTAAGAAAGGTAATCTCCACGTACAAAGTGGCTTAGCTGTGAATATTTAGTCATTAAAATATAAATACTGCATAATTACTAAACTATACTGGGGGAAAAGTAGATAAGGGGAGAAGTGGGATGTTATGAACGAAATTATTGCCTTCCACAGTAAGATACCAATAGATGAAGACTATAACTGGAAAAATAAACAAATAGCTAAATAAGCCTATAATTTAGAAATATGGAGTTAAATAACAGAAGAAGCAGTTAAGGGTTGAAAGTGATTTGCCTGTACAGAGCCAGAATCAGGGCTGGAGAAGGCAAAGAGCTGCAATTGTTTTTCAATGTAAGCCTTGTAGCACTATTTGACTTTTTCAATTTTATACATGTAATTTTTGGAAACAAAAATTAAATTAAAATAAAAATCCTACTCAACATGCAGTTTCACATCTGTAATGACTTTACTTCAATTTTCTACAATTGTGTGAATTTTAATTATTATGATCAGATAATCACATTTGTAACAAAGAAACTGTGGCACTAGTGTTCATGTTTTTGATTAAGTACCCATATAATTTCTATTGCCAGCTCTTCCATTCTTGTAAGCCATTTTATATACTAGTTATGTTTATTATTAAGGCCTTCTTTATTGAATGCTAAAGAATCTTCCAAACAGGTTTTGTCATGAAACAATACGTTCATTTGCTATTCTAGTCTGTACAGTTTCACTGCTACACAAAAAGCTTCTTTAAAAACTGGAATTATTTTATTGTTAGCTTAAAACCCCAAGGCAAAGGAAACAAAATATAAAAACGTCTCTATGGGTGAGCCTCTTCAGGATAACTGGACTCAATGGCCTCCTCTTAGGGGCCAGTCCCATTTTAGAATGCGTCTCCTAATTCATTGGGACAACAGTTCTCAGTCTGAACCTTACTCGGACAGTTTGCAATCCTCTGACAAACATACTGCTGAGTGGCAGGATTTTTAGCTATTGAAGTCATCCTACATTTAAAAAGTTGTGGCAGCAAAATTACCCCTCTCAATGAAAAATTTACACAGGACTACAAAACTCACTGCAACAGCTTTAAATCCTTTGTCTCACTGAACAATGACCACCTCATCACTGCTAGTATTTCACTATTTCTAGAGGGTTCCTCCCAGTAGGTTATTAGTATATGCAGTCACAGAGGTGATCTAAGATTTTCAAACATGCCAATAAAGTAGAGCTTCTGGTACTAAAATTTATGCTAGCAAACCTATATGAATCTCAGCGAAATGCAATATAAGCATTCCTCTAATGCTTTCCCATCATTTGATGCTTTAACTTACAAGACAGTAAGCACTATAAAACATGATCAATCATTCCTTACCTTAGCACTTAGCACATAATATGTGCGACAAACACTTTGTGAATGAATCTCTCCCACGTGGTTTTATTTTCTGCTTAAATCCCTCCAGTAACATGAAACTCACACACTGTGTTTTTTAGAGAATTGTGACTATAAAAAAGATCTTTCTCTCACTGAGCCAAATTCTTAATTCCCTGCAACAACTTCTTGCTGGCCCTGTTCTCTTCCCTCTTTTACAGGACAGCTTTTCAAATTATGAGAAATAAGGTAGTCTGTCATCACCATACCAAACCTATCTCTTCCACTCAACCATTTCTCTCTCATAGGCTTTCAAGTCTTTCTATAACCCAGAACCCTCTTTTCTGGATATGTTACAATTTATCTAGAAAACTTCTAAAGCTTAGCCTGTGCCCTATAAGCACAGCAACCCAAGAACAACTTTTTCTAAACCAAAGTGAACAATGGTAGTCATTTCAGAACCCAGTAGAGACCACTGGCTCCTTAACAGTTTGGGAATGCACTGCTCCATCTGCCCTAGATGTGTAGCCTCAAGACTGCCAAAGTATCAAGTGCTGGTGAGCTAAGGATATGGTCACGAAACAAATACTGTAGTCATTGCCACTGTGTTCCCATTGAGTTTCACTCATTCCATATGGGGATGACAGAGTCTTTCTGGAAAAACAGGTTGTGGTAGCCCTGTGATAGCAAGACTTCCAACATTCACTAATTAGAGTTTTTTATGAGTAAAGCTGACCAAAGTCACAGACTCTCTTGATACATATCAGTATTTCTTTACATGATGTTGATATACATATAATTGATTTACATTGATTCTATCACATCAAAAACTCCCAATAGATGACAATTAACTACAATATGGTACCCAGGCTTAGATCCCAGAAAAGAAAAAGGACATTAATGGAAGAGCTACAGAAATATAAATAAAGTCTAGAGGCCAGTTAACAGTAATGTACCAAAGTTAGTTTCTTAGTTTTGACAAATATACCACTGTAATTTAAGATGTTAATGTTGGGGAAAGCTGGGCGAAGGGTAGAGTATAACCTTCTTTACTATCTTTACAACTTTCCTGTAAATGTAAAGTTATTCCAAAATTAAAGGGTTTTTTTTCTTTAATTTTATTGAAGTATAGTTGAGTTACAATATTGTATTAGTTGCAGGTATACAGAAAAGTGATTTAGCTATGTATTTTTTTCAGATTCTTTTCCATTATAGGTTATTACAAGATATTGAATATAGTTCCCTGTGCTATACAGGAAATTCTTTTTATATATTTTGCTATAGTAGCCTGTATCTGTTAATCCCATACTCCTAATTTATCCCTTACCCTTTGGCAACCATAAGTTTGTTTTCTACATCTGTGAGTCTGTTTCTATTTTGTAAATAAGTTCATTTGTATTATTTTTTAGATTCCACATATAAGTGATATCATATATTTGTCTTTGTCTGACTTACTTCATTTAGTATGATAATCTCTAGGTCCAACCATGGTGCTGCAAATGGCAATATTTCATTATTTTTTACGGCTGAGTAATATTTCACTGTGTATATATATACCACATCTTCTTTATACACTCATATGTTGATGAACACTTAGGTTGCTTCCATGTCTTCACTACTGTAAACAGTGCTGCTATGAACAGCAGCTATGAGGTGTGTGTATCTTTTCGAATTAGAGTTTTCATCTTTTCTGGATATATGCCCAGGAGTGGGATTGCTGGATCATATGGTAGTTCTATTTTCAATTATTTAAGGAAGTTCCTACTGTTTTCCATAGTGGCTGTACCAATTTACATTTCTACCAACAGTGTAGGAGGGTTCTCTCCACACCCTCTCCAGCATTTATTATTTGCAGACTTTTTGATGAAGGCCATTCTGACTGGTATGAGGTGATACCTCATTGTAGTTTTGATTTGCATTTCTCTAATTATTAGTGATGTTGCACATCTTTTCATGTGCCTGCTGGTCATCTGTATGTCTTCTTTGGAGAAATGTCTATTTAGGTCTTCAAGTTTATTTTTTTTTTAATCCCTTAGATTTAAGAGTCTCAGACTGCTTCAGCAAGAATGAATCATGATTTGACATAATCAGCAATTAACTGCTACAGTTTTGAGCAAATCAGAGACAAGATATTAAAAGGAAAGTCCACTGGACTTCATCAAACTTTAAAACTTTGCTCTGAGAATTCCCTGGCGGTCCAGTGGTTAGGACTCAGTGCTTTCACTGCCGGGGCCTGGGTTAGATCCCTGGACGGGGAACTAAGATACCGCAAGTTGCATGGCATGGCAAAAAAGAAACAAACAAACAAAAAAAACCTTTGCTCTGCAAATGATCTTGTTAAGAGTATGAAAAGACAAGCTACAGACTGGGAGAAAATATTTGAAACCACATATCTGACAAAGGACTTGTATCTAGAATATCTAAAGAACTCTCAAAACTCAACAGTAAAAAAACGAATCAACTGGAAAATGAGCAAAAGACACTTCACTGAGGAGAAAATACAGATGGCAAATTAGCACAGGAAAAAATGTTCAACAGCATTAACCATTAGGGAAATGTACATTAAAACCATAATGAAACATCACTACACACTTACTAGAATGGCTAAAATAAAAAATAGTGACAACACCTAATGTTGATGAGGATGCAGAGAAACCAGATGACTCATACATTGCTAACGGGAATTTAAAAGATAGAGTCACTGTGGAAAAGTCTGGCCATTTCTTTAAAAAACTAAATGTGCAGCTACCATAAGACCCCACAACTGAACTACTGGGCATTTTTCTCAGAGAAATGAAGACTTAGGTTCCCATAAAAAAACCTGCATACAAATGTTCACAGCAGCTGTATTTGTAATAGCCAAAAACTGGACATACCCACATGTTCTTCAACAAGTTAAAGGAATCATGGTACATCCATACCATGGAATATTATTCAGCAATAAAAAGGAATGGACATCGTACATGTAACAACATGATGAATCTCCAGGGAATTACGCTGAGTAAAGAAAGTCAATCTCTAAAGGTTATAAATAATATGATTCCATTATATAACATTCTTAAAATGACAAATTATAGGAATAGAAAATATCAGTAGTTGCTGAGGGAGAGGGATGGGGAAAGGAGGAGATACAGGGAGGTGGCTGTAGGTAAAAAAATGTAGGGAGCACATGGAGGGACCCTGGTGGTGAAACTACTATGCATCTTGTCTAGGTGGTGGTCACATGAATCCATACACTATATACGGCACTAAATATACACACACAAACACACCACACATATACACACAAATGAATGCATGTAAAATTGATGAAATCTGAATAAGGTCAGTGGATTTTATCAATGTCAGTTTCCTAATTATGACACTATACTATAATTATGCTAGATCTTACCATTGGGACAAAGTGGGTGAAGGGTATACAGATCTCTCTGTATTATTTCTCTTACAACTGCATGTATATCTACAATTATCTCAAAAAATATATATATATATACACATACATACATACATACATACATACATACACACACACACACACACACACACACACACAACAGAAGAAGCCAATTATCTACCAGGGGCTTATTCTCATTGCGGCTCAACTTTACAAGAAATCATGCCTTTAATCTGATAGCACCTAGACTACTTGGCTTGATAGCACAATATCTTGATATCTCATGTTCACCACTTTCACCCATTTTAGAAAGGAAACCCAAACACTTAACCTAGTTGCAATAAATACAGGTACCCAACAGAACTCTGCTTACTTTTGTACACTGTGTAGCAGGCAAGAGGTCAACAAACACCTTGAGGTCTGTGAAACAACAAGGTTTATCCCCAAACTTTTTAAAATACTGGAACATTAATTCTTCTGGATCACCTAAGAGAGAGGGGGGGGAAATATCACTAAATTATTCATGGACTGAAGCAATCTCTAATTTAAGTGAGAAGTCTGACTTGAAAAACATTTATTTCAATTAAATGAAAATTTTGCTTGAATGAGAATGAGGATGACAATGAGGGCCGGAAGATAGCTTGCCAGTTTAAAAATAAATACTAAAAAGGAGTTGAATCTTGCGAACTCAGTTTACCTGTTATTACACTGAGGAAATGTGAAGTTTTTCATTCAATTAAAGTTTAAATAGTTTAAAAGTTTTCATTAAAGTTTAAAGACAAGTTTATATGCAAACATTAAACAAACATGCTTTTCTCCACAACAGTTCCTGAACTACTTAACAAATATTAAATATATGTTAACTAAATGAAAGGTAGTGTTTGTTAACAGGCACACCAACAGAAGAGAAAATAAATGGGAGAGCCACAGGCCAATAACTCCAAAGTCACTCACTATGGAAAATTTAAACCTGGATATGCAGAAAGCTACCAATTCATTTTATTTTTCCTCAAATTAAAAATAAAAATAATAAAAGTAAAATACTCTCAAATTGGACTAGATTTAGGAAGGAGAGATTTTTAACAAGGTCTCTGTAAGATTTTAGGTCTGGGTTCCTGCTCACACATTTCTGGGAACAGAGATTTCATGGCTTTAATCAGATTCTCACATGCCTCTGTGATCCAAAAGAGACTAAGAATCACTCACTGGTCTGGTAAAAAAAAAAAAAGAAAAAAATTTTTTTGTGTGTGGAGACAAATTTGTAAGATTCACCAATTTGTAAGATTCAGGCTGGTGAGAGAGAAGAGAAAGACAAGGGATGAATATAGGAAGTGTGAAAACAGATCCAAGTAGTTTTATATCCAGCTTTGGAAAGAAAGCAACTCTTTTTTTTTTTTTGGCTACATCAGGCGGCTTGTGGGATCCTAGTTCCCCGACCAAGGATCGAACCCAGGTCCCCTGCAGTGGAAGCACGGTGTCCTAACCACTGGACCATCAGGGAAATCTGAAGAAAGCAATTCTTTGCAATATACTTTAACAATATTTTGCTGAAGGTCACATAAAAATTTTCATTTGCAATTCTAAAACAAACACCAACTAAAGTAATTGAGGTAGACCCAAAGAAAGAAGTCAACATGGAATTCAAAATTGGTTATGAATAATCTACATAGGAAATGACAGAGAGATAGCCACAGTTAATTTTAGAATGAGCTGCAAAGAACATTAATTACATGATTAAAATGGACAAAGATGTTCTAGGATAGGTTTTAGGTATTGAGAAGTGCTCATCATCTCAGGACAACTGGTCCCTAAAGAAACCTTCTTAAAGTTATTCAACTTTTAATGAGAACTAAATTTCTATAATGACGAGTGGGAAAAAAAGTTTTCTTTGGAGCTTTATCTTAAAAAAATGAAACTAAAAAAATTTTTAAAGTTTATTCTCCTAAACTTAAAAAATTTAGGGTATAATTAAAACTAAAGCTAATTCTTAGTATGAGCAAAGAATTACTGATTTTGGGGGGAGTAGTGCTTTTTTTCCCCACAAAACTGTGAATTAGTACAATATGACAACATTTACTTCTTATATTAGTATGCTCAAAAAGAACCATTTTACAAAAACCTCTAAGGGCTTCATCAAATTTCCTGAAGGCCTCTCTTAATGCTTTACTATCCAAATCATACTTTTCTCCCATCTTGTCATTGTCCTAATAAATTTTCTCCTCAACTGTTAACTGCTCTTTAACTGCTCTAACTCTGCCAGATGTTATTTCGTCAATGGTTTTGTGAGTGCTTAGGGTAGATTTTCAAGAAACCTTTCATTCACTTCTTGAAATCCTGAAACTTTTATAAAACTGGCTATTTACTTTGAAATTGATTTTGACATTATTGCTGGGTCAGCAAAAGAACGCCTGACAGACTCTGATGGAATAGGGAGAGATGCTAAAGTTAAGCCAAGTTGCATGTGTGATTGAGGGTTAATTTTGTAAGTGATCCATTCATTAGTTAATATTTTCAGGTTATGAAGACATTTGCTTCTCAAACACAACTTTATCACTGTAGGCTTCAGAGAATAGATACTGCACTTGGGTACTGAGGGCATCCCTGTATCTTCTCCAGGGTTCCCAAATATCATTACAGCTTCTTACCCAGTTTGTACTCATCATTAAAACCTTGACGTCGCAAACGTCTAATCAGCTCCAGTTTAGCCAGATGTGGTCCTCGGAGATGGCGAGAACTTTTAGATTCTTCTGTTATCCGATCTTCTATAAATCTCACAGCCTCTTCTGCAGAATAATGTACTTCTCCTTCTAAAGAGCTAGGTATAAACACATGAAAAAGGTATTTTGTGCCTCTATCAAGCCAAATCGATTTTAAGAAACAAATTAAAAATAACAGAAAGTACTGTGATAATTATAAAACAACACAAATTAGAATAAAAGAGAAATATGAGCATATTCTGACAGTTAACATGGCATATGATTCCTCTCAATTTTGTCATTTGATTATGCAGAGTGACTAACCACCTCTACCTCTTTCTTAAAAAAAAGAATGAATAATTTTGCATATATAAAATATTACCTAATTAAAAACATAAGTAAATTTTATTGCTAGAAAAATGAGGCTGAGAAAAATTAGATGACTTACTTAATATTATAAAGTAAGCCTCAGTTCATATTTGGTATCATAAACCCTATTTTGTTATTCACTTTTTAAAAAGAGCTCATTATATTTATTGTGGTATTGTCTGTAATAGCCCCCAAAACAGGAAGCAGCAACAATACAAGTATCTATCAACAGCAGACAGATTAAATGAATTTGGTACATTTCTAAAATGGAGTTCTCTTAAGTCATTAAAAAGAATTAATCAGATCTGTATGCACCATATATGGAAAGATGCCCAAGATACACTTTAGGGGGTGAAATACGAAGTTGTAAACCATTACATCTAACATAATTGCATTCTTATGTTAAATAAGAATAATTATATTAGTATATGCATAATATAAATAAATCTGGAAGAAAAGACACCAAACTGTCTTTTCCAAATAAATCTGGAAGACACCAAACTGTTATCAAGAGTTATTTCTGTGTCAATTACATCTCAATAAAACTGGAAAAAGAAAAAAATCATCCTGGGATGATAGGAAAACTAGGAACTAACACTTTCCACACCATACATTTCTGTACTAATTTAAGATTTTTACAATGAACACATATTTATTTTAAAATTTAAAAATGGAAAAATGTCTTGCTTTGAAAGGGATACATTATTGAGACAGAAAAAGAGAATTCAATTAGGCTTACAATGAAATCATTTTGCTACACCATACTAAAAAGTGTTGTAATTCAGGAAAGAAGACAACTTACTGTTCACCTTCAGCAGGAGGAGTCCAGGCTTCTTCAATCAGTCGAAAGACAGAATCGAAATAAGTCAGATAGAACTGCCAGTCATCTGAGCTAAAATCAGATTGAATGGTGCACACAGGATTAAACCCAAGTTGTGACAAATCTGCCTGAGGAACCATGTTATTCAACTTATTCTCTAAGTTATATTTTAGTCTTTACTAGGAGAAGCCCAACCTTCCCTCTGGGTTTCTTCTACAGCCCTAAAAGGGCAACAACTCCAGAGGCATTTTCAAAGTCAAACATTTTCAAGAAACTACTCTTTCCTTCAATAAAATGACCAGGTCTAAAAAACTAATATTCTCAGGACTTCCCTGGTGGCCCAGTGGATGAGACTCCGCACTCCCAATGCAGGGGGCCCGGTTCAATCCCTAGTCGGGAAACTAGATCCCGCATGCATGCCACAACTAAGAAGTCTACCTGCCACAACAAAGATCCCGCGTGCCGCAAGTAAGACCCAGAGCAGCCAAAATAAATTAAAAAAAAAAACAAAACAGCTCATGCAGCCCTTAATAAAAAACTAATATTCTTAACAGAAAACTCCCCACATTAGTGCTTTCTAGGGGGGCTAAGGGGAGGGTCTCTCTTTTAGACCAATATTGAGTTTGACAAATTAATGACTTTTCAGCATTCATTCTGAATACGTAGCACCCTGGTGGCATAAGTTCCATTACACCTCTTTATTGAAAGATGAAGGCTCGGGCTTCCCTGGTGGCGCAGTGGTTGAGAGTCCGCCTGCCGATGCAGGGGACATGGGTTCGCGCCCTGGTCCAGGAAGATCCCACATGCTGCGGAGCGGCTGGGCCCGTGGGCCATGGCCGCTGAGCCTGCACGTCCGGAGCCTGTGCTCCGCAACGGGAGAGGCCACAACAGTGAGAGGCCCGCGTACCGCAAATAAAAAAAAAAAAAGATGAAGGCTCATTAAAAACTTTAAAAAAAATATCCAGAACACACAACTAAAAGATTTCACTTTATGCCCAGAAATCTCAAAATATATAGACCAAAAAAATCAATGGTGAGACCTGAAAGCCCCACTCCAGTCTCATAGTCCAAAAAGAAGCATCTACTTACTTTTTCAGTAAGAGGCGCCGAGAAAGGGCATTGCACTCTGGCCACCTGCTCAGCTTCTTGTACATAGCCATGCATTTATTTTCCCGACTCTGAATCTCACTTGTTAACTTCTCTACAATTAAAAGTTATAAAAGTTGGTAAGCTGGTTTCATTTCTGCTCAGAAACCAGAACAAAATCCATATACAAGAAGGAAACTGTCACATTTTCTTATTCACTCTCTTAGAAAATGGGACCACTATTAGATACAAACTACTATCTCACTGAAGATTACTTTCCTGAAAGGAAAAATCGTATATTTCTGATACTAAACTTTTTAATCCTTTTCTTCTACAAAATACAAGGATCCAGAATGTCTTGAGTTGAGGATCTAGTGTGTGGGATACACATAAAATCCCAACAACGTCTAAGGACTGGTATATTTAGACCTGATATATTTAGACCATAGACAGACCATCCATACATTTCCAAAACATTGAATAAGCTTGGACTGGAATGAGATGAGAAAGGGGAGATGTTATGAGGAAGATAAAAAAAGAAAAGAGATGAATCAAACTCTTCCAACAGTTGAGAACAAAAAAACTAGGACTATATTTCTGACCAAATTAGATATGCCCTGTCCTTTTAGAATGGTTTAGCAGATTAAGGATGCCAACAATTACATTATGAATTTTCTATAGAGAATCTAAACTGTAACTATCCATACAACTACAACCTAACTGAATAAAAACAAAGTTGACTTGTACCCACCTGCAAGGAGGCTAAAGTTAGAGAGTAACATTAAAAATAAAAACAAAAACAAAACTCTTCCTACATTTTATATAATTAAAGTACTTAACTCAGTTACTATTACAGTTTTGGAATAGCACAAAGTCTAGTAAAGGATATACATACTTGTAAAAAACAAAGTCTTTTTAATGGCTGGACCTAATGAGAGTTCTGAGGCTACTCATCTACAGTTAGTTACTCCCAATAACCATAAAGGCACAATTAAAAAACCAGGGTTGTCAAAACGATAACTGCATTCCCACTAATTTCTCCTAAGGAAATCAAAGATGTGTAAATATTTAGGAACCAAAATCTCCTAAGTCTCCAAAAATAAGGGAATAGTTAATGCTATCTATGAAGTTCATACAAATCAGTTTTCCAACAACAAAGGAGGAAGTATTTTCACAACAATGGAAAAGAGCTAACTTCTTTAACATGTAAAGTACTCTTGCAAATCAATAAGCAGATTAACCAAATTTTTAGAAATAGGAAAAGGATAAGAAAAAGCAGCTCAGAGGAAAAAAATATATTAATGGCTTTTAAACAAATGAAGAAATAATTATCCTCCCTCATAACTAAATAAAAACTGTAAGGTATGTTTTACCTATCTCATTGAAAAACATAAAAGGTTTGATATGGGACTTCTCTGGTGGGCCAGTGGCTGACTCCACGCTCCCAATGCAAGGGGCCCGGGTTTGAACCCTGGTCAGGAAACTAGATCCCACGTGACACAACTAAGAGTTCACATGCCACAACTAAAGATCCCGCATGCGGCAAGGAAGATCCAGCATATAGCAGCGAAGACACGGCCTAGCCAAATAAATAAATAAATATTTTTTAAAAAGTTTGATCTAAAATTTTGATAATATAGGTGGGTAAATATGCAAAGAAACAGGCCCTCTTACAATCTAATAGCAAATACAGCTGGTGGAAATGCACACTGTAGCCTCTTAGAGGGCAATTTGGTTTATAGCAAAGATGTTCCTTGCAAATAGCCTAAATACCCTTCAAAGATGAGCTATGTAGTAAACTGTCTACGTTTATACTATGGAACACTGGGCACCATTAAAGAGAGTGAGGTAGTGAGGTATATCTCTAAGACACACTGTTTAGGTAAAAAAAACAATGGGTCTAAGAGTATGGAGAGAAAAGGTCACAAACTCAAATGCCTTCATAGGACAGACACAATAAACATTTAAAAATTTTAAAGAAAAAAAATATTTAATAAGAACATTGTGCAGAGTAAGATTACTCTTAGGGTCAAGGTACAGTATATTCTCAATTGTGGTTTAAAAAAGTGGGGGGCCCCTTTCTGCCTCCGCTGCCACCATGGCGCCCGGTAGAAAGTTTGTGGCAAAGGGGGGCAAAAAAAAAGAAGCAGGTCCTGGGGCCTTCCTGGTGGCGCAGTGGTTGAGAGTCCGCCTGCCGACGCAGGGGACACGGGCTCATGCCCCGGTCCGGGAGGTTCCCACATGCCGCGGAGCGGCTGGGCCCGTGAGCCATGGCCACTGAGCCTGCACGTCTGGAGCCTGTGCTCTGCAACAGGAGAGGCCGCAAAAGTGAGAGGCCCGCGTACCGCAAAAAAATAATAATAAAATTAAATTAAAAAAAAAAAAAAAAAAGAAGCAGGTCCTGAAGTTTACTCTTGACTGTACCCATCCTGTAGAAGATAGAATCATGGATGCTGCCAATTTTGAGCAGTTTTTTCAGGAGAGAATCAAAGTGAATGGAAAAGCTGAGAATCTTGGTGGAGGTGTTGTAACAAACGAAAGAAGCAAAAGCAAGATTACTGTAACTTCTGAGGTAGCTTTTTCCAAAAGGTATTTGAAATATCTCACCATAAAATATTTGAAGAAGAATAACCTATGTGATCGGTTACGCGTAGTTGCTAACAGCAAAGAAAGTTACGAACTGCATTACTTTCAGACTACTCAAGGTGCAGAAGAGGGGCTTCCCTGGTGGCGCAGTGGTTAAGAATCCGCCTGCCAATGCAGAGGACACGGGTTTGAGCCCTGGTCCGGGAAGATCCCACATGCCACGGAGCAACTAAGCCGTGCACCACAACTACTGAGCCTGCACTCTAGAGCCCGCGAGCAACAACTACTGAAGCCCACGTGCCACAACAACTGAAGCCTGCACGCCTAGAGCCCATGCTCCACAACAAGAGAAGCCACTGCAATGAGAAGTCCACACACTGCAACGAAGAGGAGCCCCTACTCGCTGCAACTAGAGAAAGCCCGCGTGCAGCAATGAGAACCCAAAGCAGCCAAAAATAAATAAATTTCTTTAAAAAAAAAAAAAAAAAGATGAAGAAGAGGAGGAAGATGAGGATTAAAACTCAATTATCTGGGGACCTCCCTGGCGGTCCAGTAGTTAAGACTTCACCTTCCAATGCAGGGGGTGCAGGTTTGATCCCAGGTCAGGGAACTAAGATCCCACATGCATCATGGCCAAAAAACCAAAACATAAAGGAGAAGCAATGTTGTAACAAATTCAATAAAGACTTTTAAAAAAAATGGTCCACATCAAAAAAAAAAAACAAAAAAAACCTCAATTATCTGGAATATTTTGTATGAGTTCTTAAGTAAAACTTAGGACCCCAAAAACAAAAAAAAGGGAAGGGGGAGGGGAAAGATACTACTTTAGAAGGATATACAGAACAGGTAACTGGAGAAGGATGTACAGGGCAGAGGGTTGGAGATCTGGGGTAAAATCATACTCCCTGAATTTTCTGAATCCATGAATTATTTTCATTCATTCATTCATTCATTCGGCTATGCCAGGTCTTAGATGCAGCACATGGGATCTTCGTTGCCACGTGTGGGATCTTCCTTGTAGCATGCGGGATCTTTAGCTGCGGCATGTGGGATCTTAATTGTGGCATGTAGGATCTAATTCTCTGACCAGGGATCGAACCCAGGCCCCCTGCATCGTAAACGCGAAGTCTTAACCACTGTACCACCAGGGAAGTCCCCATGAATTATTTTCAACTAAAAATTATTTTAAAAAAATTAATACAGAAAAACCTGAAAGAATCTAAAATGATCGCAAGTGATTTTTTAAAGTCTTTATATCTTTGTTTCTGTATGTGGAAGAAATTTTCCACAATAAAATGTCATGTTTAAATAGGAAAACAAAACAAAAAAAACTTTAAGAAAACTCTAAAAATTACCTCCTAATTTTCCTCTGATGACATCCAAGGCTTCCTGGTACTTTCCCAAACGTTCTAGGATCATATAATAAAGTTCAACCTTACAAAACAAACAAACAAGAAGTGCAATCATTGAAACTTTTCAATAATAAAAAGATAAGTCATTTGTATGTTTTTAAAAAGCTATCTAACAGAAAAGAACACTATATCTTCAAATAAGATGAAATTAACAATGAGAATCAGACCATAGTATCTCTCCTATCTATATCTCAGCAGAGTACTTTCTGGAAACATGCTAGAACCTCACTCATTATACCTAGGCTGGGGAGTTCCAAAGCTTCACATTTACACAAAAGGCAAGAGTGAGGACCCAGTTCTCTAAATGGAATAAAGCAACAGTTCATAATATTGTAACAACATCAAAAACATGCAAATACAAAGTGGGGCTTAAATTACTCACTTCAGCCTCTGCTTCTATCTTGTCCTCTTTTACCATTTTTTCTACCATTCTCTCAGCAAGGGGCAGAAACATCGTTTTTGAGAGGTTTTCATCCTGCGCTGATATAGACTAAAGGAGAAAAGAAAAATGTTTGCACTATTTATATTATTACCATGCAGACCATTATTGTGACTCTGGCACATAATTATCAACCCACTATGTCAAATATCAGACCTAATTTGAACTTGAGAGTGGTTTGCTTTATAGGAGATTTCTTTACTAAAGATTCTTATCGTATGCATTCTTGAAATACATAGTTTCCACAATATGACCTAACTTTTAAATATTAGACCATTCATGCATTTTTTTCTAGAAATATGTTAAGAGGGGATACGTTTATACTATTTAGTATATATAAAGGGTACCAGGTATTTGAAGGGTCAAAAACCTTTGAGATGTCTTCTTGAGACCTTCACATATTAGAAGGAAAATGCCAATTCCTTCTATTTATAGTATGGCTTACTATTAGCTACAGTTACCTTAGCATGGTATTAATCATTTTAACATTGCCAAAGATTCTGCTCAGAGCTCATGTACCCCCTGAAAACAACCTTTCAGGGTAGCTATTATGCTTATTTTATAGTTAAACTAAGGTTAAAAGATTCCCCAACAGCTCAAGAGACATGGTGAAGCCAATGTTTGAAAGCAGACCTGTCTGAACCCACAGCCTCTCTGTTCTTAACCTACATTTTAACTCCAGAGCCTCTCTGTTCTTAACTGCTACATTTTAACTCCTTTCTCCCCATCCTCTCATACACAGTGTCTTATCTTGGTACTTATAGCTGCTCTGGGAGATGAGCATCTCCATTCTGCAAAAGAGCAGACTGAGGCTCAGAAAGCTGAAGTGATGAAACAAGGTCACCCAGTTCAATGATCCGTTCAACAACCAACAATAGTGCCTTAAAGACAAACCTCAAGTTAAAATATCAAACATTTCGAGGCTCATACTTGATCAAGTAACCCAGTAATGGATCTAAGATTCAGAGGAAATACACTCTGTGCTACACACAAATAAACCAATATATCAACTCAAAAAGAATACTAAAACTCTTCAACTCAAAAAAATCAACTGACAATATGTCACATCCCTATTTGACACATGCTGCAACAATACATTACCCAAGATGTTCAGAGGACACATTAAGGACAATTACTATATACAAAAATAAAAACAAATCTCAATCCCATTCTGAATGCCATACTCACTTGCATTATTAAGCTCATCACAGACCAAAAGTAGTAAGGGTTTTTGGGGACAATCTTATATAGAGCCATGCCAGCCTGAAAGACAGAGAGCCATAAATACTTAACTTAGAAAACATCATACAGAGGGTAATTAATGACCTAGACATGTGGCAAGAAGTTTCCTAGGAAAATAGCAACATGTTTACATATGCTGGTTACTGTAAGTGCCTAGTAACTTGATGGGTGTTCTCTACAGCATAACAATAGAGGTAATCCCAATATCAAGAATGATATTTCACCTTTTGAATCAGATTTTCTTAAACTGAAGACCCAGTGTTCCTAGAGAATACTGCAATCCAATATAGTTCTGGTAGACTACCAAGCAAAAACAAAAGTTGGGTTATGAATGTATATCAATAAACTTTACTGAAGCCATTGCACTAATCAGTTATAGTAAAACAAAGAAATCCACACAGTATATTTAAACTTCAAAATCAGACAAAATTACTCTGACATAATTCAAAAAATAATTCTTAGGTTAGGAAAATATTCAGGTTCTTTCAATACACCATTAATTAGAACTGAACCCTCTCATTGTGAAATGTATAATATGCAAATACTTAGAAGTAGGAACATGGCACAAAGGAGCAAAGTAGATCTATTCACGTAAAACTGAGAATCTGTCCATAATTGCCAAGTAGTAATCAATGCTAAGAACTCTGTCAGCTAATTATCACAGTTACTATTTTATTTTTTAATCTTTTGCCTATCTTCAATCCACTTGAAAAAAATACATGGAGCCCCTATTAAGTGGAAGGAAATGTCTATTCCTGCCAAGGATACAAAGATTGAGTCCCGATCCCCGAGGCACTTAAAAGCAAGGGAAAGAGATAAGACAAATATTCAAACGACTAAAATATTCTTGGCAATAAAAACAAACATCCTATACAGGGAATTCCCTGGCGGTCCAGTGGTTAGGACTCGGCACTTCCACCGCCAGGGCCGGATTCGATCCCTGGTCAGGGAACTAATAATATCTCACAAGCAAAGTGGCACAGCCAAAGAAAAAAAAGGAAAACAAAAACACCCTATACAAAAACACCACACTAGGGTGTTTCCAAGGAAGGCAAGGTTAGTATGTTTGTTTATTCCTTTCTTTTTCTTTTTTTAAGGAAAAGTAGGGAAGAGCATTCTCCAAAGTAGCAGTCTTTCAGATGGACCTTGAAGGTGAAACAGAATGTCTATAGGCAAAGATGGGGGGTAAGAATACATATACAAATAATACAATTATTTGGGGTGAATGGATAAGTGAATGAATCAATTTGAAGTAGGAGCAAAATGAGTAATTAAACAAAAACATTAAAGAAAGAAAAGATATATGTTGACAAGAACAAGTAGGACATCTAGCTGAAACAAAAAATTAAGAGCAGGAGAAGGGAAAAGGGCTAAAAGGTAGACAGAGGTACCTTTGTTATAAGGCATTCCAAAAGGAGTCTATACAGAGTAAGCGAGTGATATGTATAAATCTATACTCTTCTAGGAAGAGTATTTTAGCAGTACTGTGAAGAAAGAAAATAGGGAAAAATAAGAGGTGAGGCAATAAAGAACTAAACCAGGATGAGGTAGATCAAATAGAAAAAGAGACCTCAGGGAATTCCCTGGCAGTCCAGTGATTAGGACTCCGAGCTCCCACTGATGAGGGCATCGGTTTGATCCCTGATCCAGGAACTAAGATCCAGAAAGCCCCATGGCCAAAAAAAAAAAGAGACAGAAAGAGAGAGAGAGACCTCAAAGACACTATGGAGGTAGAATCAAGATGATCTGGAGACAAAATGGACATAGAAGATGAGAAGGAGAGTCTAGAATGGCTTGAGGTCCCTGCTCTTAACACCAAACTGGAGAAATGAAATGGAAAGTGTTAGAAAACCAATTTTATTTGATAACTTGGGGAAAGAAAACATTTTTATAATGACACACAGAAATAAAAAGGAATAGAATATTAAATTAACATGAACTTTTAACATAAAAGAGAAATTTCATGCCCACACCCTACTATCTTATAGGTGATAGCATTCTGCTGCTACAGAAAACTTTTGACCAGAGAGAAATTTGAAAAACATGGCTGCAAACTGGTGACTCAGAGAATAGGAATGTCACTTACAGAAAAAGGAAAGTCTAGTCACCATATGAATGACTAGCAACTCTTTATTCAAGGTGGTTTTAAATTTACCTGCCAGAGATGATCTGTGGGGCAGAAGTCCTTAAATCTTGTGATTCCCTGGCTTCCCTCCCTCCTACCTCCACCAGTTTATGCAAATCACTCATTTATTTAACAAACATTTATCATGAAGTGAGGATTCAGCAGTGAACAAAAGCCCTTATGAAACATAACATGTAATTTATAAAATACGTATTACCCCAGACTGACATTCCCCTTTCAAAATAAGCATACATATAAGCTAAGAACTGTAACTACCTTAAGCAGCAACAAAGGCAGAATAAAAATCAGACGTTCCATTCTAAGACATTTAACACTAGAGGACTCCATTCTTCCAACATATTAGACTAAAATAATGCAAAAGCAGGCTATGGTTAAAACATATTAAGAAACCATAACTACTAAGCCACATCAAAGCTATGTCTCCAAAAAGCAAGATGCAAAATTGTATATATCTCTGGCAACATGTAAAGTTAAACCATACAAAAATATAATCTGTTCAAGTGGTAGATTATTTTTTTCCCTTTTTCAAAATTTACCTTAATATTGCTATTGCATGAACTTGTACTTTTTGTTATTTTATAAATGTGTGTATAATACATATTTCAAAAATATATTTCGTGGGATCATAAAATTAACACATGCTAAAAAAAAAAAAAAAAGAAAGAACAGAAATTAAGATGGAAAGTATCCACAGCCCTATATCCTGGCAACATTTCGGTACATATACTTAATAAGGAAGGGTGGAGGGGAAGGGCGTGAGAGAAGGCCATTTTACAACCTGCTCTTCTCACTTAACATATATTGGGAATATCTTTCTATGTCAACAAATAAAGACACACAGTACCATTTGGGGGGGGCGGGGTGTTGCATTATTTTCTACCACATAGGTGAACTATAATTTCTTTCACTCTGTCTGTATTAATGTACATTTAATATACTTTACTTAAAACATATTCCTAGGGGCTTCCCTGGTGGCTCAGTGGTTAAGAATCCGCCTGCCAATGCAGGGGACATGGGTTTGAGCCCTGGTCCAGGAAGATCCCACATGCCACGGAGCAACTAAGCCTGTGCGCCACAACTACTGAAGCCTGCGTGCCTAGAGCCCATGCTCCGCAACAAGAGAAGGCACCTCAGTGAGAAGCCCGTGCACCGCAATGGAGACCCAACGCAGCTAAAAATAAATAAAATAAATTAAAAAAAAAAAAAAAGAACATATTCCTAGAAGTAAAAATAGGATACTAAGGATTTATATGTATATATGGTTAGTGCTGCCAATTTAAAAAATATATACCCATTTTACAATAAAAGAAAAATTATAATCTGTGAATATTTTTCCTGAGAACATATCAATACTCCAATGATAAATAAAATAATGATAAAATTTCTTCAAAGAATTATATTTGGGCCAAAAAATCTCTTCCAATTTAAAAACTTACATAAGCAAATACAAAAACTGATTTGAAAGAGAAAGGGTTTATCTTAATATAGTATCTTCCACCCTCCCTGGTCTACCTATCTATTGTTATAGTTTGATATTTCAAGTAAACAAGACAAAATAAAAATCCAAGTAGGAAAGCTCTGCCTTCCAAACACATTACACCCCCAAACAAAGCATTTCTTTAAAAATTCTAGCTTGACATCATAACCCTTTATGAGCTTAAGAGTGCAAATTTCATTTCTCTGGGATGCCAGCTTTACGCACCTATTAGTCCAAATGTATCCAAATAAGGCTCCTTCACATGTGTACAAGGAACACCTAAAACGTGCTAACTGGCAGATAAGCTGCATCCAGAAAAAAAAAACAAAAAAACAAGCATCCCAAGCAATAGGGGTTTTCCCGCCATGGATTTAAAAATCTTAGCAGGCTATATAAACAGTTAAATTTACAAAATAGATGTAAACTTTTACAGTTAATCTTTCTATAGTCTGTTCATTTTTTGCTCTAGGATTTCTGCCCATTTTCTGAAAATATAACAGCAATCTGATGCAGTGAGACAATCTGAAGCCAACTTACCAGAACCAAACAAAACATACCATCAGGCCACAAAGGAACAATCACATTTCCCAAAGAAAACATTTAAAGAACCTGAATAATTGTTCATCTTTAAAACACACACAAAAAATAACTGGCTGATCTCCACACACAAATACATAGATTCACTTCTACACATATATGCAAACACACACATGCAGACACACATACCACTGCAGTTAAACCACATTAATAGAAAATCCTGCAGCCCAGGAGGTTTGGGCATCAAGTTACCTGTTGCATTTTCTTATATTCGCCCACTCTGGCATAGGCCATGAAGAGGTGAGAGTGATATTCCTCACTATTGGGAACTTTCTTCACAGCTGCCTCATAAAGTTTTGTGACTAACTCCGCTAAAACAAAGAGAAAGAGAATTTTCTTTAATTACTGAAGTATAACAAATCTTAACAGCATTTAATTTTTTTCCTATTTGGAGGAAATAGATGTCTCCTATCATTAAGGAAGGAGAAAGTATTTGCTTTGCCTCATCTGCTCATTACTCTTACCTTGCTTAGGTGTTTTCCGATGAAGCATGGAATAGGTCAGGCCTCCCCATGACGTTTACAATGTACAAGACCCTCCAGGATCTATCTAGCCTTTCTATCTTCTTCCAAACTCTTCCCTCCTGCACTTTATGCTCTAGCTACATCAAACCACTTGTAGTTCCACTAGATTCCCTGTGCTGTATCAGACCTGCATGACTTTAACACTGTTCCCTCTGCTCGGATTCCCTTTTCCTCTCTTTTCTACTGAGTGAACATCATCCAAGACCCAGTTCAAATGTAATCCTTCCCTGAACACGATCTCTGCTCCTCCATCCCAGTTTGTACACTGCTTCCTTCTGCCATCTTTAAATCTTTTAAATAACGCTCTTATACAATTTATTAATATATAATGCAACATACTATCTATTGATCTATGTTTCCTCATAGACTATGAGTAACATGAAAGCAAAGAATACCTTTCATCTTTGACTCTGATACAATATTTGTCATAGAAAAACATTCAACCAATACTTGTAGGACAGATAATTTTTTTTTTGAAATGCTGGGAGAGAATCCATATCCCTAAATCAACATAATCCCTAAATAATCAGATATAATACCTCAACTCTTAAGTTTTATCTTCCATAAGAATGAAACACAAAATTGAACTATAAAATAACATTTTCTGCCTGCTAGGTTGGCAAAAAATTTATTTTATTTTTTTCAGTTTTACTGAGAAACAATTGACAAAAGCTGTATATTTTTAGGAGTACAACATGATGGCTTGATGGCAAAATTTTTTAAGTCTAAGAATACCAATGACGGGACTTCCCTGGCGGCGCAGTTGTTAAGACTCCAAGCTCCCAATGCAGGGGGCCCAGGTTCAATCCCCAGTCAGGGAACTAGATCGCACAGGCATGCTGCAACTAAGAGCTCACATACCACAACTAAGGATCCCACGTGCCGCAACTAAGGAGCCAGTGAGCTGCAACTATGGAGCCCGCCTGCTGCAACTAAGATCCAGAGCAAATAAATAAATAAATAAATATCACATTAATTTAAAAAAAAAAAGAATACCAATGACAAGCATGTGGAACTCTGATACACTGCTAGTGGGAAGGTAAATTTAGAAGATAAGTTGACACCATGTTTATCTTTAAGCTGAACCTACCCTATGACCTAGCACCTCCACTCTAGATTCTAGTGTAGTCAACCAGTGAAGTATACTGTGGCAGTAAACATGAATTAACTACAACCACTTGGAAATTAGATGAAAAGTGCATGTCACAGAAAACGTACAGCATGAATCCATTTATGTTAAGTCCAAAATAAGTGAAACTAATAATGTATTACTTAGAAAAACAAATGTGATAAAGATTTAAAGACAAGCAAGAGAATAAAAAATATTCAAGATAGCAAATCCCTCTTAGGAAGTTAAAGGGGAAATGAGATTGATGAAGGACACACAGGAAGTCTTCTTAGTACAGACATACCTCATTTTATTGTACTTCCCTTTACTGTGCTTTGCAGATATTGTGTTTTACAGATTGAAGGTTTGTGGCTACCTAGCAACTAAGCAAGTCATTAGAACCATTTTTCCAACAGCATTTGCTCACTTTGTGTCTCTGTGTTACATTTTGGTAATTCTCACGATATTTCAAACTTTTTCATTATTATTGTATTTGTTATGGTGATCTATGACCAGTGATCTTTGAAGTTACTACTGTAATTGCTTGGGGGCACCACAAATCACAACCATATAAGACCCTGAACTTAATCAACAAATATGTGTGTGTCCTGACTGCTCCACTATCTGGCCGTTCCCATCTATCTCCCTCTCCTCAGGCCTCCCTATTTTTTGAGACACAACACTAAAATTAGGCCAATTAATAACCCTACAATGGCCTCAAGTGAAAGGAAGAGTGCCACATGTCTGGCACTTTAAATCAAAAGCTAGAAATGATTAAGTGTAGTGAGGAAGGCATGTCGAAAGCCAAGACAGGCTGAAAGCTAGGCCTCTTGTGCCAGTTATCCAAGTTGTAAATTCAAAGGAAAAGTTCTTGAAGGAAATTAAAAGTACTACTCCAGGGAATTCCCTAGAGGTCCAGTGGTTAGGACTCCAACCTTCCACTGCAGGGAACACAGGTTCAACATCTGTTCAGGGAACCAGATCTCACAAGCCATGAGGCACGGCCAAAAAAAAAAAAGTACTACTCCAGTGAACACATAAATGATAAAAAAGTGAAACGGAGAAAGTTTTAGTGGTCTGGATAGAAGATCAAACTAGCCACAATATTCCCTTAAGCCAAAGCCTGACCCAGAGCAAGACCCTGACTCTCTTTAATTCTATGAAGGCTGAGAGAACCGGGAAACCAAAAAATTCATATGACTCACTTTACTGCAATATTTGCTTTAATGTGAAACCAAACCCACGATACCTCCAAGCTATGCCTGTACTGATAATGCTCTATTTCTTAAATTGGGTGGTAGGTTTATGAATGTTCATTTATTCCACATCAAATGTTCTAGTGCTACATAAAACATATTCTTCTATAATATGTATTACTAAAGATATGTATTTCATAATAAAATATTTAAGAAATCAACAATGAAAAACTTTATTTATAGATGAAACTAAGCAGACTACCTAGGATATGCTTAGAAATAATCTGGCAGGCAGAGGGGTATACATAAAATTGATCATGTCTCAATAACTGCTGAAAGTGAGAAATGGACACAAAGGGATTTATTATGCTATTCTCTGTTTCTATGTTTGAAGTTTTCCATATTAAAAAGTGGAAAAAAAAGCAACTCTTTCATTTAGCAAATCAAAATGTCATAAATGAAATTCAAGTCCTCATTCCAATCCAAGGATCCTAATACATGTAAAATATCCACTCTGCCTACAGCCTTTGCAAGCCATGGTTAATGCATTTTTTACCTGTTGCTATCCATCAAATCATGAGTGATAAGTAAATCGGACAAACAGAGAACTCAGAAATACCCAACAAATTAAGCACAGTTTTAAAGACAATGAAAAGAAAGAAACATACGTCGATGCATCTCCCGGTAAAGAATGGTCAGTGCCTGCAGCGAGTTGTCGTCTGTGGGTTCAAGGGCTGCCACCTCCTGCGCCAAGGTGAAGGCTTCCTCTTGCTTTCCAGTTCTCTGTAAACCAATTGCTTTTAAAACCTGATAGAAAGAAAAGACAAATCAGTTTTAAAAGGACAGAAAAGGAAATATGAACCAAAGAAAGACAATTTGAAATCACAAAATAAGTTATAAGGTATGCCTAGGTTGTGAATCAACTATTTTACTAAAAATATCAGCAAATAAAGATTATTGCCAGGGCTTCCCTGGTGGCTCAGTGGTTAAGAGTCTGCCTGCCAATGCAGGGGACACAGGTTTGAGCGCTGGTCCGGGCGGATGCCACATGCCACGGAACAACTAAGCTCATGCACCACAACTACTAAGCCTGCGCTCTAGAGCCCGCGAGCCTAACTACTGAAGCCAGCGCCTAGAGCCCGTGCTCCGCAACAAGAGACACCACCGCAATGAGAAACTTGAGCACCACAACAAAGAGTGGCCCCCACTCGCCACAACTAAAGAAAGCCCATGCAGCAACGAGGACCCAACACAACCAAAAATAAATAAATAAATAAAAATAAAGTTCCCTTAAAAAAAAAAAAAAGATTATTTCCTATTTCAGTCATATTAAGAATGCACAAAACAAAAAGAATGCACAACATTGCTTAAAAGGACTTTGTGGGGTGGGGGGGGGAAGGACTTTGTGAAAATAAAATAATTAAATTAGATAAGTCATGTCCAAAAAAACAAGCAGCTAGCTTTTAATTAAATACTCTTTATGGCATTTCATTTAAGTGATCAGGCAAATAAATGGCCTAAAAAATACTCTGAAAAACACAGTCACTAAAGAGATTAAACACCTCTTCCCTTTAAAGATTACAGTACATAACCCACCAAATATAAGTAACTCAAGGGCAAATGAACTTACCTTAGCACAATGAAGATCCTTATGCTTTTTCAACAATTTATCTGCTTGCTGAATTGCCATTTTATTATTACCATTATCAAGATAATCTATGAAAACAGAAATTATGAGTTATTATATTCCTTCAAAAACAAATATGAAAAATGCATAGGCTAGTATCATCTGTTTCAGAAAGTATCCTAACTCGGTATTAAAAACACCTTGGAGCTGATTTTAACTCTAAATGGCTAGGATGGTCCAGAACACAATCTTAAATTTCTATAGTCATCTCTCATCCAAGAGCAATGTAATCCAGTTATACTAATCCTTAATGAAGATTCAAGACCAAATATATTTAGATGATAGATGACACTAATATTTTTACCTATGGGAAACAAATGGGTTTACTTGCACAAAAATTAAAATATCTAAAAAAAAAAAAACCTTTATTACATTCAAGCTTCAAATCTACCAAATGGACCATGTTCCCTCAATAAAATGTTCAGTGAATCTTACTATGCCACAGAGTTAAGAATAATTCTTCGAAGAAAAAAATAAGAACAGTGAGTGGGGGAGTAAATCCAGCAGTATCAGGAGTAGACAAGGATGCAGGGAAAGCAGCACTTTCATACGCTCTGGTTGAAATAGAAACTAGCACTGACTTTGAAGAAACAGTGACTTCTAGGTTCCCTAAGCTATGCGTCCATTCCAAAATTCAAGGCATATGGAGACCTGCTATAAAATTGTGTTAAGGAAGAAAAGCAATCAATTATTATTCAAAAATCTAACAAAAGCAAAGATTAATTTTCAGATGAGAGGATCTGAAAGAAAATGATTAGTGTTTTAGATGGGAAACGGTGGTAGCTGTCAATTCTATATATAGAAAGATGACTAAACACAGGCCAGTCCACAACCTACTACTACTACCAAGTCCCTCTTTGCTCATCAAGGTCCCAAATCAGCATAGGGACAGACAAAACATAAACAACTCAAATTAATCTGTGGACCAAATGCTGGTGAGGACATGGAGCAAAAGCAGCTCTCATTCACTGTTAGTGGGAATGTAAAATGGCACAGCCACCTTGGAAGACTGTTTGGCAGTTTCTTAAAAAATTAAACATACTCTAACCATATAATCCAGCTCCTTGTTATCTACCCAAATGAGCTGAAAACTTACTTTCACACAGAAATCTGCACGCAAATGTTTATAGCAGCTTTATACAAAATTGCCAAAACCTGGAAGGAACCAAGATGTTCTTCAACAGGCAAATGGATAAACAAACCGTGGTATATCCATCCATACAATGATAAATTATTCAGTGATAAAAAGAAATGAGCCCATGCGCCACAACTACTGAGCCTGTGCTCTAGAGCCTGTGAGCCACAACTACTGAGCCCACGTGCCACAACTACTGAATCCCACGGGCCTAGAGCCTGTGCTCCACAACAAGAGAAGCCGCCACAATGAGAAGCCTGCACACCACAACAAAGAGTAGCCCCCACTCGCCACAACTAGAGAAAGCCTGCATGCAGCAACAAAGACCCAACACAGCCAAAAATAAATAAATAAATTTATTTTTAAAAAAAAGAAAAGAAATGAGCTAGCAAGCCACAAAAAAATATAGGGGACTCTTAAATACATATTGCTAAGTGAAAGAAGCCAACATGACAAAGCTACATACTATACGATTCCAAGTGTATGACATTCTGGAAAAAGCAAAATTATAGGCAGAGTAGAACAATCAGTGGTTGCCAGGAGCTGGGGGAGGGATGAATAGGTGGAGAACGGGATTTTTCAGGGCAGTGAAACTATTCTGTATGATACTGTAATGAAGGATACATGTCGTCATACCTTTGCAAAATGCATAGAATGTGCAACACACAGAATGAACCCTAATGTAAACTAGTAAACTATGGACTTTAGTTAGCAATAACATATCGTATTGGCTCAGCAACTGTAGCAAATGCACCACACTAATGCAAGTGTTAATAACATGGGAAACTGGGGGAGAAGAGAGGTGTGTGGGGGTGAATAGGAAGGAACTCTGTACTCTCCACTCCTTTTCTGTAAACTTAACCTAAAACTGCTCTAAAAAATGAAGTCAATTAATTAAAAATATATATCTAATAAAAGCAAAGATTCATTTCTAGAAAAGGAACGTGAGAGTGTTATAAATGGGAAATAGGGGGGTAGATGTAGATTTGAAATACAGAAAGATGACTGAACTCAAGCTAGTTCACAATCTACTACTACTATTGGTCCCTCTTTGCTCATCAAGGTCCCAAGTCAGCAACAGGGACAGAGGAGGCACAGACAACTCAAGATCATCTATGGCCCTGGTGGCCCAGGGCCAAATAACAGAAATACACTATCATTTTACCTAACGGTTTCAATTTTTCTCCTATGAATACTTTATCACAACCTTTAACAGACAGCTACGTGAACACATGAGTTTCATCTCTTTAGTTTTTCTTCAATGCACCTAATGTTGATGAGCACCAATAATGCTAGGTAAAAAGATTAAGAAGCCTTACTCTGGAGGGAATCACAATCTAGAAAAGATCAAAGACTTAACACTCAGGTAGAGAGATTAGAGAATCACAGAAATCACAATCTTGGCCTGAATACCCAAATATCTAATACCAGTTTTCTTAAGTCCTCATCTCAGCCGATAGACCACCATTTGTTCTTACAGAATATCTGACAGAGACATTTCAGCTCAATAAATGATACCTTCTCTTCCTAATAACTTGGTGCTGATCTCATGCTGAGTGAGTTCTAAGTCACGTCTGACTCAGTCTTCTTGCAAGACTCCAGGTTCACAAAACATATCTTGAAGTCTTCTCAAAGAGCAGGTATCTTTGATGAAACCCCAGCTCTGAGGGTCTGCCCATAGATGGACCAGGCCAGAGGTTAGGACTACAAGGATATTGAACTTTTCCCTCTGTTGTTGACAAGGCCCTGATATATAAATACACTGCACCCATGCCCTCTTCTGTGGGCATGGTTTCCACAGACTGCTGAAGGGGTAGAATTGGATGAGCCTGTCTAGATCATGCAACTGAAGTCTAATGGAGTGGACATTTGACCCAAACTGGGTAAATCAAGTTTCTTCCTGGTAATTTGTAATTACAACACTGAAATCTGGAATCAGAAAGCTATGGACAGACTTCCCTGATAGCACAGTGGATAAGGCTCCACGCTCCCAATGCAGGGGGCCCGGGTTCGATTCCTGGTCAGGGAACTACATCCCACATGCATGCTGCAACTAGGAGTTCGCATGCCACAACTAAGAAGCCCACATGCCACAACTAAGGAGCTGGCAAGCCGCAACTAAGGATCCCACGTGCTACAACTAAGGAGCCCACCTGCCACAACTAAGACCCAATGCAACCAAATAAATAAATAAATATTAAAAAAAGAAAAGAAAAGAAAGCTATGGAGAACCCCATTTGGAAGGCAATAAATATTTCCAGTTTGAGATTACTAGTGGCAGCTCCAGAATCTCCATTTGGAAGGAGCCTTGGCAGATGCAAGTTAGTTAATGGGGAGTGAAAAAAAGGAGTTATCTCTTGACTCTTCATTCATATAACATTTATAAAAGAACAAAGAACGTCAATTATCTTTATCAAAAAATTGGGGGAGGGGCAGTGCTGATTAAGCTTGTGGGGGGAGGCTAATGACCTCTCCTTACTCTATTCTCAGCTTGGTGTGGCCACAAAGCCAACATGTTGGGCCCCAGGTAAACTGATGAGTAAGCAGAAAAAACCAGTTTGAAGAACCTAGCAGAGAAAAGAAGAGCCACAAACAGATAAGAGCAGAGATGAGCACCTGAGAAAGAAGCTTCAGATCCTGACAGCTTTCCAGTTTCCATCAGGCTCTAGAACACTGCATTCCTGCCCTAAGCTCCCACAAGGGTTTATAAACAACCTCCCTCTACTTGAGCTTGTGTCAAAGGGTTTCTGTTCCTTGCACCCAGAAGAGTTTTAATTTTAACTAAGACACCCCACCACATTTAGACTGCTGTCAAGGTCCCCCTTCCTGGACACCTAGGTGATTGCTGATTAATTGGTTGCTGAGGCTTTTGGGAAAGTTTACTTCCATTTTACATTGCTGACTTTGTAATATAAATTATGTAGTCAGGGCTTCCCTGATGGCGCAGTGGTTAAGAATCTGCCTGCCCATGCAGGGGACACGGGTTCGAGCCGGGTCTGGGAAGATCCCACATGCCGTGGAGCAACTAAGCCTGTGCACCACAACTACTGAGACTGCGCTCTAGAGCCCACAAGCCACAACTTTTGAAGCCCGCACGCCTAGAGCCCGTGCTCCGCAACAGGAGAAGCCACCGCAATGAGAAGCCCACACACCACAACGAAGAGTAGCCCCCACTCTCAGCAACCGGAGAAAACCCAAGTGCAGCAAAAGACCCAATGTCGCCAAAAAATTAAATAAATGAATAAGTAAATTTATTTTAAAAATAAATAAAATAAATTATGTAGCCCTTGGAGAAAACAGGCCAATAAAAATGATACCCTAAGTCTGTTTTTTAGCCTTTTTAAAACTCACTCAAGGGTAACTGTGGCTTGACCATGAGGACTGGTATTGTTCCCTTAATATGAGGAGTAAGCCAAGTCAGCCGTCCACAAATCAGGCATAGGAAATAATAAGATGATGATGTATCAGTTAAAGCAGTGTTTTTCAAAGCATGGTTATCACTCCAACTAAAATGTTTTTAAGTGGTCCTTGCAGGCAGCACTAGATAACACGGATAGTGAGAAAACTGACCTTTTGTAATATTTCCCTTATATTAAGGAGATAGTCTCAGTTTGGTATCAGCCTGTCATTTCTTTAACACTTGCTGATGCCTTTTTTTTTAATGGAAAAGGAACAGGTCTGATTTAGAGTTTCTCAACTATCAGAAACTAGTTAAGACCTTAATAACATTGTTTTGTTTTCACTGTGTGTACTTAATTTTATGGTTTTGTTTTCTCAGGGCAAGTGACAGGTATTCCACTGATGGTAATGATACATATTATTTCTATTTTTAATTTTAAAAATTTATTTATTTTTGGCCACGCAGAATGTGGAATCTTAGTTCCCTGACCACGG